AGACCTCCGCCGAGCTGACTTTGCAGGATGCAAGGCGCGCTGTGGTTGTTAGCGAGGAGGGGTGTGGTGGGGCGGAGATAGGTTTGAGGAGATTTGACCAGACGGTTTATTGGGGCCGGTGAGTTGAGGGGGCAGGAAAAGCCAAAATGAGGGTCTTTTCTTTCAGGAAAGCTCCTTTCGGAGTGCGGAAAAAAGGTGGAAGAAAAGGAGGGATTTTGGAATTGTTTGAAATATTCGGGGTCAATGTGTGATAAGGGAGAGAGTGGCAACGCAATTTTTGCGTTATAATACCTACAGCCCTATATCAATGCACTCCACTAAGAAGGATTTTTCACTTAAAGCCCAGATCTCCAAACTCTCAATTCCTTTTTTTTTTTTTTTTTTTGTAGATTTTCTATTTATTTTAGTTCTTAAAATGCAATGAGTTGGATTCATTTGACTGTAGACTAACATTCTCATCATTTCAAAATTGTAATTATTTGATTCCTTTTATTCTATATTTTTTATTTATTTTAATTCCTAAAATGTAATGAGTTGATTTCAAAATCTTGATTGTAGACTATATTCTCATCATTTCAAAATTGAAATATTTCAAATTATAATAATTTGATGATACATGTGACTTTAATATTTGAGAGGAAAAATGAATTTTCTGGTCAACACATATTTTTGGTTATGTATTACCCTAATTATATTGAATTATTTTTTCTTTATCTCCAAGATCCTTCTTTGGTTTCTATAGGTATTATTTGTGTTCTTTGATTATGAAATTATCTACACTAATGCCTGGAAAAGAGTTTACATATTATCATATGTATCTATATACATCTATAAATTTTCATACAGATTTTATTCTAGACCTTTCAAAAAGGCTCCTAAAACTCCTTTTCTCAAAAACACACAATCCAAAAATCAATATATATAAAAATTGCAAAATGATTTTTTAGTTAGAAGCCATGTTGAAAATTGTAACTTCATGTACTACTTAATATTTTTAATCCAAATAAACAAACAGAGATTTTGAAATTTAAAATTTTAAAATTATATAAAATGGACCCTTGATAATTATTTTTTTATTATTCTTGAAAGAATCTAATACTGTATGGATTTTATGCCAAAAAGTAATGGATATATTGATTGAGAAATAAATTAACATTTTGGCAAATAGTTTTTGAATTTTCTAAATGTTGGACATGATGGTTGAGAAATTAATTGGCATTTAGCAAATATTATTTGGTTTTAGATCCATTTCAATTTAATATGACATGTTCTATGTATTATACTAATTTTTCTCTTTCTTTTTTTTTTTTTTTGTAATGCATGTTTGTAATAGGGAGACGATAGCTAAAAATTATTTTTTTAAAAATTTTTTATGCATTGGAGGGGTGGGATTTGTGAAGTGAGAAGCTGGAAAGAGTAGGTTAAAGTTGTTTGCAGGTTAAACTAATTTATTAAATTTCTGTATGTTATATATTCCCAAACTATTTATTTCTTTTTCATAATACGCTTTATGACCTTGCGTAGCACGGATTTTTAGACTAATATTGTAAAATTTAAAAGATATGTAAATGGATGAACAAATTGAATTGCATATTCTTTTCGGGATTAATGTTGATGCCCATATTGATTGGGAATTTGGAATCCATAATCAAAATAAATTTTAACAGATAAAGTATTTAACGAAAGTGCAGAGAGATTGAGAGGTTATTTGGATTACATTTTCTAAAGAGTTTTTCGAAAAAAATTACTGTCATTCTTTTTAAAGATGTGATGTATATAAAGTGAAAAGGTGATTGAAAAATGTGTTAAATAATTTTTTAAAAATTTAAAAAAATCAAAAATTAGCAATCGAAATAGGACCTAAATTAATTTTGTGGTACCAAATAGGTGCATGTCATTTTACCAATGTGGTAGGCAGAATTTATGGCTGTGTCTAATTGCAGTTTTGGGTGGCAAAGAACTGGTAGAAGTTTCCAGTAAGTTTTGGTACCATTTTGATTCGACTGAATATCCAAAACGAGCAATTTTTCTTTTTCTTTTTTTTTTTGTGATTTATTGTTGACCAGTTCAAAGATTGCTCAAACAAAAATAAATAATGCCTATTTGGATTGCTATTTTTTAGATTTTTTGTTAAAAAAAATATACTGTAACAATTTGATGTACATAAGATAAAAAAATAATTAAAAAATATGTTAAAGAAAACTAAAAATTTTTGGAGAAAAATTCCAACCCAAACAAGGTTTTAAATCATTGTCTGGATAGCTTTTTTCAAATAAATATTTCACTTGCATTGCAAACATTTTTTAAGTCCCTTTGTTATCATTTTTTATCTTGCAAATATTACATCATAACAAATACTATAATAATTATTTTAAATAATATTTTAAATAATACTTTTCCAAACACACTGTTTTTCTTGTTAAAAGAATTGTGTTCGACAATTTCCAAGCCCTTTGGAAGCAGGCAATCAAAACAAAATAAAAAAACAGGATGAAGATGTATCTGACAGTGATTTGACATCATGAATAATAAGGATACACCAATGGCACGCAATTGAATTTGCCGCTGTGCCTGTGGCCAGTGGTCACTGCCCAACCTTCTATCACCAAAAATTGGCACAATATGTGATGGTTTTCGTTGATCATTTTCGATGTAGTTTTTATTTATATTGAATCCCCTACCCCTCTAAATTAGACTAGTTTAAGTTATAAGAATCTTATCGTTGCAAAAAAAAAAAGAGAATTAGGTGCTTTTTATTGTTTTCTTTTTTTGTAAATCTACATATAATGTTCTGTCGCAACTTTTAGCCTAATTTGGAAGTTGGGATGGAGATATTTTTCAGCTTCCAATTCAATTTTGAATTATTAGGTTGTTTTTGTCTTTAATGACTGCATTAAAGCATTTACTCATACTTTTGTTTCAGTTTACCATTCAAATTACATTAATTTTGATTGCAAAGTAGACAATACTTTTTTATGCTTTGAATTATTAGGTTGTTTTTGTCTTCAATGACTGCATTAATCCATTGACTCATACATTTTGTTTAAGTTTACCATCCAAATTACAAAATGGAAGAGAGAAACTGTGTTTGCCAAAAAAAATACTTCATCCCTCCCATTTTAATAGTTTTGTTTTCCTTTTTATCAATCTCAAATTATAGTTTACATTTTAATTGAAAAATATAATTAACTTGTAACTTTTTTTAATATACCCTTATTTAATATAGTTTGTTATCAGGGAGTACAACCTATCTTAATCATTAATGATTCATGCCTTGGTGGTGCAACTTTCCATAATATTGTTGTTATAATTAATGTAAATATATAGTGATTAATCATACTCCTAATATTAATGTAAGTGTATTGTTGTAATTAATGTTAAGATACAGTGATTAATCCTACTCCTAATATTAATGCAAGGATATTTTAAAAAAATATTATGTTAGATTTACTTTTCAATAATATTAACTAATTTTTCTTAAAATGTGTGAAAAAAGAAAAAGAAAAAGTAAGACTACTAAACTAGGATAGAGAAAGTAACCTTTTCCAAATTGATGTAAACCTGTACATACCTTTTGGACTTGACAGTAACTAATATGTGTTTCATACTTTATTCTTCTTTAGTTTGGAACTTGGAAGTGCAAATCCCTTTTTAAAAGAGAAAATAAAACATTAAACTTCTAATGCAGCGTATAATCATTTTTGTGCACAAGATGCAGTTCTCGTAGTATGAACTTGTTAATTGCGTACCTGTATACTTTTCTTTTCTTTAAAAGCGAGCCATTAAAATTTCAGATTGCATACTACCTTTCTACAGCTTGCATGTTTTTAATAGCGTAGTTAATGAAGGTTTTCATTAATTTTTAGGATTAATCTTTATGGTATATACACTGCCAGTATTGAGAATGATAATTATGCAAAATTTGAATTTAAAATTCGACTTTTACACATATACCGTAAATTTAACAATTAGTATTATATACATTGTTAGTGTATATAAGATTTACTCTAATTTTTATACAGTGTTTTGATGTACACATATGGCCACTAAATATGCCAATTGCTATAATAAGAATCAATTAGTGCAATTGAACTGCATCATGCGGGAAGAATCATTCATATGCTTAGTTTTGTAAGCTACTGTAAATTGCAATTTACACTTTTTATGTGTATTTGAATTTGAGTATTTTTTGCTAGGAAATTACCATTGAGTGTGTTTTACTTAGTAGGCAACTGATGATTACGGTATGATGCATTTGCTCTCGCTTAATATTAATTTTTTTTAAGGCCACCTAATACTAAGTAATTGAAATGGAAAATTTCTATTTCATAGTATGAACTTGTTTTTTTGTATGTACAAATACTTAATATGTATAAGTTCATCGTATATACCAATACACAATATATACAAACACACAATAATGTGTATGAATCCAAATACAAAATTCGATGTATGAACTTGTTCATTGCACATACAAATACATAGTTAGTATGTTCAAGTTGGTGATTTGTCTTAAAAATATTCAATAATTAAAATTGCAACTTTTCACACACATTTTCCCACACTCTATATAAAAGTGAAATGGATCTTAATTTGGTCACTGGCCAATGGCTCAGTGGCCACCAGGGAGGGACTTAAGTTGGTGAGGGTTCAAACCTCATCAGCAGTGAAAAAAATCTAAGGATTGTGTCATAACACTCCCTTGATCTAGTTAGGTCTGTATACCCACTAGCCCTACAACAGCCTCCTTAGGCTCCCCCTCCCCTTAGTTAGGTCTGTATCGTTGTTGAAAAAAAAAATCTTAATTTGGTGCATAAGGAACAGGAGCAGTTGTTGAGTGTTGGGACTGGAATTAATGTAATCGGTGACGCATAAACTTTCTCTCTCGTCATTAAAAGGGGCGACAAATGCGTACACAAGGAATTAACTCCATACTTTGCTGAGGACTAGGTGATGTTCACCGTGCTTGCGCACGGTGGTACGTTATAAGTATGCCCAGGTTGAGAGGACAGTAAGCATTTGTTTAAAAATAGATTTGTTGTACAGAGAAATTATTTAGCTGACCGTGCTTGTTTTGAATTCTTAACAGGGTTACAGAATATATATTGCAAATGTAAGCACATTTGTATTTTTTTGTCCTATAACCTTTGACATGCACTTTGGTAGCTCGTTAGGAGTGAGTACGAAGGCATTGAGGTTAGAAAAAAGGAATGTTTGGAAGCATTCGCGTGTTCGGGGTAACTTTTTCAGCAGGAGAGAATTTGAATTGGTAAGTGGATTTTCGTTAGTGGATGGCGTTGTCACGCAGGCAATTGTATGAGAGCCGAAACACCAGACAGAAGAAACAACAACTCAATGGATACAGAACCTGGTAAAGATGCTCGATGACCACCCAAAGTAACATTGGCAGGATCAGCAAAAGAACTTTGTTTAGGAGGTGGACACTGGCTGGTTCCAACATTAGCACGATAGGCACTACATGGCTGATCAGAACCAGCAGAAACACGAACACCTGTGTATATGCCTGGTGAAGCCGCTTCCTGGACATCAGCTCCGCGTTTCTTTTTGAGAGGCGAGCTGTAGGTCCAAGACCCGAAGGAGCAAGGGCCATATTTTTTTTCTTTGCAGCATTAGCTTCCCTGTAGCGCCGCAAAAGGTCATCATTCTTTTCCCGTGCGGTTGTGAGAGTAGCCATGAGCATGAAGAGAAAAAGAAGAGGCTAAACAAATGTATAAAAGATGGAATGAGCATGAAGGCTAAGCAGCAACAAAAAGTTTGATTGATGACGAAGTTCTAGCAGCAAAGTTCACACAGGGAAAGATAGAGAGTACCTTTAACTGAAGGAGATGGAACACACAACCTGCATGCAAGAAACACAAGGAACGGACTGAACGTTAACGACACATGAGTTGAGCAAAACAGCAGTGGCACATCTAGGAAAAAACAACAAAGAACAGTTCGACGAACAAGGCACATGGAATGACAAAATAAGCAAATAAAACCAAGCGCATACGGCTAAGAGGAGTAGCAGTAGCTTCAAAAACACCAGCATGTAAAACAATGGGGCTAAAAGAAAGAAAGGCGCAAGTAAGGGACTAACAAAGTCAACGCACACAACATGACCAGCAAGCCGCGGATAAACGTAAACCATCTAAGTAGCAGGCACCATGGAAAAACAGTATAGGACAGAACTAATCTCACAAACGAAAAAAGCAACCAGTGAACAAGCGAAACTTGAGTGCAGAGTGATAGAACCACAGCCTAATTAAGCTCAGAACCTGGATAGGAAGGAAGCAAGAAATATAAAAAAAGAACCTCAAAGTAGAAATAAACGAGAACCTCTTCCAGCTAACAGCAGCAAGGAATATTGGCGGTGAGAGGAAGAGCCCCAAAATGCAACAAAAACCAGCGAAGGTTGAGGAACAGGTCCAAAATAAGGTGGAGGAGAGGAAGGGATGCGAGCCTGCAAGAAGAAGGACTAAAAGCACTCTCCACTCCGGCCATGGAAAGGCGGGCCAAAAGCTCATGAAAAGCCGTAAAAGTGCCGCGTGCTTAAAATCCGAGCAACCATTAAGGCGGTGAAATAGCGCACAGTCGGCCTTGCATGTATAGCTGCCATGTCTACTCTAAATTATATATTGATGATGATTATTGATGGACAGCGATATATTAAGGTTCCAGGGTCCTGCTATCTGCCTTTAATTTAATAGGAAGCTAATCATCACCATCCCAATTTTAACAGCTCAATACAATATGAAAAGCACGCTGCTTAGCAAAGATGCTATAATCAGTGCTGGGTTCCAAGGAGCTTTCGTATAAGGTTGCTAGCAGAGATGCTATAATTAGCGTTGGGTTCCAAGGACAAAAGGCATTTGATGGAGGACGCCGATAACTTGCAGAATAAAGAAAAGAAGAAAGACGTTGGGTTCCAAGAAAAAAGAAGAAAGAACGAACAAACAAATAAAATAAAGGAAAAATATATATATAAGATTTCCAGCTCGGGCCACTTTGACAACCCGCACGTGAGACAATACATGGAGGACGACCATGCTTTGGCAGCCCCTTCCCAATTTATATACATTCTTTAAATAAAATAAAGGAAAAATATATATATAAGATTTCCAGCTCGGGCCACTTTGACAACCCGCACGTGAGCAATACATGGAGGACGACCATGCTTTGGCAGCCCCTTCCCAATTTATATACATTCTTTAAACGAGTGGAGGTGTTTTGGACGACATCTTTGGTCATAAGTCTTCATGAACAAATAAAAAATAAGCATGAATGGATGGACCAAGGAGAGGAGACACATGTACTTGTGTTTTGATGTATAAATACGTGTTATTGTAGTTTCAGGGCAAAAACCCAATTACGTGTGTTTGGATTAGCTGTTTTTTGGGTGTTTTTTAAAAAATTTTTACTAGTAGCAGTGTATATAAAATTTTTTTTTGAAATATTTGATATATTGTACGGATGAGATGTTTTTTGAGTTATTATGTGTTACTGTAATATTGCATTTGAAAATCTTATTTTTGAAAAAAATGACCGATCCAAATATTTGAAAAATTAGTTTTTAAAAAATTGAAGGATCCTTCCACTTTATTTGCATACATTGATTTGACTTGCCTGAATTTTCAATATATTTTTTAATCATTTTTTTTATTTCACATACTCACATTAATTAAAAAAAGTGATACAATAATATTTTTTCATAAAACTATCTCAAATAATTTACTATCCAGCCATACATGCGTATGCATTTCCGTAAAGACATGAACAACGCAAACTTACAAGAAACCGAGAGATGAAACGCGTTCGTTTGACAAATGAACGATCAAATATTCAGCAACTTCCATCTCCAGCCAACCAAGGATTTGTCCAGGTTTTCAGCTGATTAATGTATACCCCACTCGCTTCCAAGTCGATACTTGAGTTCGTCGAGTTGATTTTCGGGCAGAATCAAATTTATTACCCTTCCCCTTCATCTTTGCCACTCTCAGTCCCAGGAGGAGGTCCCGGCAGCACCAAAACTGCACCTTCATCCCCAACCCCACTTACAGAATAACTTGCAAAAACTGGTTGATGATGGCCGCTCATTTTCAGCCCGTAAATATTCATCTTCTCCAAATTTACAAAGGTGAGACGGGCGCCGTATAAGATAAAGTCGCGAGACTCTCCATCATCACTGCCCTTCTGATACATCACTCGTTCAACTAAATGGGTCTCGTCCTCCTGTTTCCGAGCAATCAGCCTGGCCAAGTCTGCTAAATCAGCCTGTGCAGGCGGAGCCTCAGCCGCTTCAATTGTGCTAATGATGACTCGAGAATTGCTCGGCAGTCCATTTTCTTTATCCCAAGTGCTAGAGATTAATGTCACAACTTTAGGCTCTTCTGCTTTGCCACTTGTCTTGGCCAAAGACTTCCATATCACTGCCGAGATGACTTCAAAGGGCTTTGCCAGTTTAGCTTCTTCGGTCAAACGATTCAACTGTTTTGGAGTTACGTGGAAGGAATGGGCTCTCATTTTTCTGTGATTGGGAATGAGCCAATGGCCACCATCCGACTCCAGCAGTACCCTCTGGACAGAAAGTGGTACCTTGGCAAGTGGGGAGGGGAACTTTTTTCGGTTTTTGGGGTTGTGGGCGTCGAGATGATGAGGTGGCACTTGACCTGTCAAGATCTGGCCCCACATGTTGATGAAGTGTGAAGCTGAGAATGCATCTCCCACAATATGAGCCCAACTTAGTCCAATTGAGATTCCTCCACATTTGAACCATGTGAACTGAGCACAAATCAAGACGGCACGTTACATTACATTAATGTGAATGATGAATGACTACTAACTGCTATATATGCAATTTGGACAAAAAATGCACAGGTCGCCAATGTTCTTGGAACCGTGCCCTTGAGTTGAGAGGACGTGGACCAACGTTTGATTCATAACACTAATTTCAGACAGCTCCCCCAAATTGTAGGAACTGATTTTTACTTAATACTTTTTAATTTGTTTTGGGAAACAAAATTATGGATTCGCTAACAATTGCGTCAAAGGTCATGATTGCCTTCATTTCTGTCAAATGAAAACTTCTTATTTATAAAATATTTCTACTACTTGAAAGTGCATATATATATATATATATGAAACTCAAATTACAGGCCTGTTTGGCCAGCATCCAGTTTGTTTGTTATAAGTTTTTTAATAACTTTAATTATAATAATTTTAAAAAATTTCTCAAAATTTTACGAGTTTCAAAAATTTTTCTTACAATCTCTACGGTAAGTTACAGTAAAATTTCATACAAACATAAAAAAAAATTCATTAGTCAAACGAGGCCTGTATGAATAGGGGGCTTCGTGATGTATATGTATAATGTATGTATGTATGTATACACACATTTACTACTACTACATGGAAAATTTTTCTCTGTGTTTCCAACACAGAAAAAGGGAAAAGTTCTATAAGCGGTGGTGTCTGCTAGCAAGCTGTATGTGAATACACACAACATAGTCAAAGAATGTGAGAAGTTGTAACTTGTACGTAATATGCTAGCCAATTTTGCCTTTTGAGGCAGGTGGATGGGTAGTTGGTCATCGTGCATGAGCTCTGTTAAGGAGTAAGTTGAAGACTTGAAGAAAGAAAGGGTAGTTAATGACTCGGCGTGCATTAAAACTTCACTCTTTCTCCGAGAAATTAAACTAAGTACCTCACGTCTCTTTTCAATTTATTGGCCACGTCGATCGGTACGGTTACTAGACAAAGTTGCATCTCTGGATGGAAGATCTCCTATTGGCATCCCATCCCCTATTGACTTTTACATTTCATGCAGTATCATTTAGATTCTGCTTTGTGTACTTCAAACTCTCTACTTTTGTGCATAGGATGGCTGGCTGACTGGCTGGCTACAGACATGTCAACCGGGGGCCTAATGAGTTGGATTTTCGTGAGTTTAAGTTCAGCTTATTTAATTTAAAATATTTTCATATTTTGGCTATAAGTTTCGGATTCATAAACGTGAAATTCATACTCAACTCACGTAATATTTGAGTTGTGAGTCTTAATTGGGCTTAACCTAAACTCACTTATTACTCCTTAATTTTTTTAACATAATTGTTATAACTATTAAGTTGTCAAACTAATTTAACATTTACAAGACTATAATATTAAAATTAAACATGAACAAATAATAGTTCTTAAAAATTATATAAACCAAAAAATTTTCAACAATATTTATATTTACTTCGTTCAAAATGCATGAAAGATAGCAATAAAACATGTGAACGTAAACCAATATATCTGTAAAAGTTGAAGCTTTTTTTTTTTATAATCTTGTGATTTGAATCCAAACATGCATGATGATTTGTGTTTCTAGACCAAAAAGAAATCAATCAATATGATGCCAATACAAAAATTTACTCAACCAATAAAAAAAATTAGAGATTCAGTTATGCATTACTAATATTGACTCTCAAGAAAGCTCATGGAAGAGTCTTTAGATGTATTTTTGTAATTTGTAATTTATATATATTTAGTATTTAATTTGGATATATAATTATACATGATATCAAAATATAAATATTATATATATAGGTAATTAAAGGGTCGGGCTTATATTGGTTTTGAGCTTAATAAGGCCCAAACTCAGCTTATATTTAATTGGAACCTATTTTTTAGGCTCAAACTCAGATCGACTCACTAAAAAATCGGATTCATCGGACTTTTTGTCGGGTCGAACGAGCTGAGTTCGACCTGGCCCAAACCCATTGACGGTCCTAGCTGGCTGCATATGGTGGAATTTTTACAGGTTTATTGTGTTGGTTTTGATCTTTTCTTGTATTGGATGGATGAGGGGTACCGTCCGGTTGTATATTGCTTCATTTCTGAAAGCAACCATTAAACCAAAAGAAAAAGAAAATCACAAACTTTTGTATGTCAATTATTGAGGATGTGATTGATGTAGCTTGATAACCACAATGGAACATGGAATTTAATTAGGGACCAAATTAAATTAAACTCCTCCCTGCCCCCAACAGCCACTGGCCATTCGATTGATGTTCATAGAGCAGTAATCTAACATAGCCAGTCATTTTGTGATTGGTTCCTGCTTGACACCATCTAATTCCCCCATCAGATTTCCAGATTAATTTGTCCACTTGCTTCCTGGTTTTATGCTAATCTACTAGCGGTAGTATAATTCTCTCTTGAAAGGGAAGCCAGAGGGAAAGATGAACTAATTAAAGATTTGTGTAGGTCAATATCTCATTCCGAAGCTAGCATTAGAAATCAATTATTGTGTTTCTAAAGATAAAACAACACTAAAGATTGCACCAATACATCAAATGCTCATGATGCGTGTATGTATGTATGTATGTATGTATACACACAGGAAGATGCATCACAAAATACCAGTATTAGTTTAAGGTCGTACTAATCAACCCCAGAAGGATTAAAAATAATTATATATTATCCAAATTCTTGAGGCTGACCAAAATGAACAGTCTTAGTAATTTTGTCAATAGATTATTTAAGTTTTGAAGATTTTAATGCATAATCCTTGTACAAATGAAGTATGCACTTCCAAAATAGGAAGGAGGAGGAGGAGGAGAAGGGAGAAGTGAGTTGGTGCTAATTACCTGGACAAAAACAAGAGGAGTGAATCCGGCATCAGGAGCAAGGAACTGGCTGTAAATTAGCTGATCGTTGAGGGAATCATCGTTGAAAGCCAGCCATTCATCCAAAGTTTTACTGCACTTTGCCTCGGCAATACGAACACCGCTATCATTGCATTTGATGAATGGTCTTCCATCTTCGGACTTTCTAATTCTCCCCGACAAAGTGGAGTAGAGGGCTAAGCATTCAAACATTGGTTTTTTCAGGTCATTTATGGTTAGCCCTCGTGCTGCTCCACTTCTAAAGAAGTATATTCCCTTGACATAATGCAGCTTCAGCATCAAGTCCATGTTGCTGAGTTCATGGACCTTATCCTCTCCGGTGATGCTCGCCGGGACCACCGACGACAGCCTTACGTCGTAAACGGCGGCGTTTTCGCCCGCTGTCGATACCATATCTTGATATATGATCAGACAAGGAGGTGCAGAGAAGGTGAGATCTTAAAGGAAAAAGGAAATTGGTGCCGAGCTAGCTAGAAATGGACTAAAGGAGAAGTGTAAGACTTTTCATTTAGAAAAGAATATGATTTGATTATATGAGGGGGAAGAGGGGCACTATAAATAAATATGAAGGGGAAGAGGGGTACTCTTTTATCTTTGCGTTGGACCATTTGTTTAAGTTTACAAATGGAGGGGGGGAATTGACGCACAAAGACTAAGGCCCGTTTGGATAGCCATTTTACGCCGAAAAATTGCGTCGTTTTCTGTTATCACATTTTCTTATTATCTTTTTTCCTCCCATACATCAAATCGTTACAGTAATTTTTCATCAAAAAAATCCAAGAAAATGCAATCCAAACGAAATTTAAAAGGTTAGGCGTCAAGGATCAATCAGATCTGGTGGGAGTTGAAAGTTGTGGCATCTTGCAAATTAATACTTATTAGATTCAATTTTGGAGTTGGATATTATTGGCTATAAAAATTGGACTACATATTCCTTTTCTCGAGGGTCTTCTTCTAACGAATTGCCCGCAACCACCTGATACTCTTGTTTATGTGGCAAAATTTAATGAAAGCTAATTTAGTGGTTTGTTTTAGAGAGAATTGTAGTTTCGGTGTTAAATGCTTTGGGTTTAAGCGTTTTTAGTCTCTGAAGTTTGGATGAAAGCAAATATATAGTTCTATATTTTTATGCACATTTAGTCCTAATGACTGATTTTGACCAATTACTATCGGAATCTGGTCATGTGCCAGCAACTAATTTTTGGGGAAAAAATTTGAAAAATTCTTCAATAAAAAATTGCTAGCCATAATTTATAATAAAAAATAACTAATTACTCATATGCTAGTAACGTGAATAATTAGTTTTTAACCTATTTTTTTTTCTACCAACTTAAATTTTTGTATTTCTAGATTAAAGACTAGTGTTGAATCAAGTAGAATACTTAGTGTTTAGACTTATATTATATGAATATACGAACAGGGTTTAAGTTCGACTCGAATATCAAAAGAACTATAAGTATTGCTTGAATTCAATTCGTTTATTCGTATAAGTATTCGAGTTCAAATTCGAGCTCGGCTTGTTAAACTAAAAGAGCCGAATTTGAGCTCAAACTCGAGTTCAAATTAGAGTTTAGAGATGATTTAATTATATGTGAATAAACAATACATTATTTAGAATGAGTTTGATTGTAGTATTTCTTGGTTTAAAAAAAAATAGTTTTTGTATAATTAATTTTTTTAGTAAAATACAATATATATTTAATAATATTAAATATTAAATATTTTTATTTTATAATTATATATGTATTCATGAACTTCTAGAATAGTTTGTGAACGGGTTCATGTTCGGCTCAATTATTAAATGAGCCTAATGTTGTGTTCGAGTATCCCTTGATTTTTTTAATAAACCAGTAAACTTTTTTTGAACTCGAACGAATCGAACGTGGTGAAGTGCTCGATTCATTAGCAGCTCTACTACAAACTAATGACTCGGGTGATTGGCTTGAGAGTAATTAGTCTTATTTTACTACAAATTATGATCAACAATAGTTATTTCAAGTTTTTTTTTATTTTTTAAATATATCAATTGCCAGTACGTGATATCATGTGATCGGATACTAATAGCAATCGGTGAAAATGAGTCAATAGGACTAAATGAGTTTAGAGTTTGAATAACATTTGGGACTAACATTTACTTTCTTTCAAACTTTATGGATTAGAAGGGCTCGTGCTCTCAAAACTGTAATTCTCTTTTTATTTAACACTTCCGACCCATGCAGCTGCACCTGCAGCTCTTGACGTCCGAAGTGCAAATAACTAAATAGTAGCATATGAATGAATTGAGAGGGGTGGAAAGAGCTTGCCTCCATCTAATGCATCAAACGTTCTTCAGATCTACTGGACTTTTCCATTGAATTTAAGATTGTGAAAATTACTGGAAACCTGTCCTTGTCAAACTCACGGGTACCTCACTACCTTGAAGAAATCAACAACATTTCTCGGCAGCAAACAGAGCCACACAAATCCCACATTACAACGGTGCCTTTGGATTCGAATTAACTATCTATATATATATAATATATATTATATATATATATGCAATGCCTGTGCCGTCCCAAACACTGGAACTAATTACGATGAATACTTTCTGATGACTTGCTCACACTCGATCCCTTAGTTTGACTTAGGGGTGCAAACGAATGCGAGCGGCTCGAGTCGAGCTCGAACTCAAAATATTAAACTCGTTAGTTCGCGAGTCGGCTCGCGAGCTCGAGTATATATATATATATTTTTTTAATTTTTATTTTTAATAGTAAAATTACATAAATATTCTTAATATTTTATTATTTATTAAGAAAAAATATTATTTTACTTATTTTTTAAAAATAAAATAATTATTTTTTATTTTTTTCGAGCTTCGAGCTTGAAAATTACCAGCTCGTCGAGCTCGAACTCGAGTTCGAGTTCGATGAAATTAAGTTAAGGCTCAACTCGATAAGGCCAAAGCTCGACTCGGCTCGACTCGTTTGCACCCCTAATTGACTAAGAATCCTGTTATGTGCTCAATTAATGAAAATGAGGCATGTTTTAAGAGTAGAAAATTAATGATTAATTTCTTTTTTTCTTAAACTATTTAGATTAACGAGTAGAATGTATCTAATGGATAATTCGAACCTGAAACGAGAAGATTTGGTGATAAGAGTTAAAATCCTTAGGGTTATCCGATTGGGTTTCGCAAAAGATTTAAATATGTGAATGAGGATTGCATAAGAGAGATTTTTGAGGGTATCCGATTCACGATTCACTGCTGTCCCTTTTATTTATGAGAAAAAAGAAGAAGATCATGCCTTGCTGCTTTGCCATTAGATGTATCAAATCACATCCAATTTTTGTTGACCTCTAAATTTACCCAAATAAGATTACAGCCTAGATGGGATCTTGGATTAGACCACCCAACCTGATCGAGGACACATTCCCTTAAGGGCACCGTCAACAAAGCCCTGCATTTATTTATTTTGGTGCAAGGAAAATCCTATGCTTTATCAAAGGAAGGGAAAAAGGAGAGGATTATTTTTATTATTATTATTTTTTTGTCATCACTGTGGATATCCGGGTCTACACCCGACTAATTCCACAGCGCTTCAGCAGAGCGGGTCCGACCGATGCTGAAGAAGATAACAACTGGGTTGCTGTCCGGGATCGAACTCAGGTGGTACTCACCTATTTCCACCGGCAGACCAACCCAGCGCGGGCAGAAAAAGGAGAGGTTTTGAGAGATCCATCATTCAGCTATCATCACCTAAACAACATCGTTCCTACCGATTAGGTTACAACTCGGAAACGAAAAGTCCCGTTACTGGGGAGGATGTCCTCGTAATTTGCGGTTTCAATCATATATTACCAGTAGTATAATTAAAGTTTTTTATACCATCTGTTTTTCAACCAAAAAAAAAAGAAAGTCGTTTAACCATTTGGTTTGGTGATGACATTCATTCTTACACCGCAATATTGAAGTTAAGTTGTGCAAGAAACTGAAATGTGGTGTACGAATATCGTACCCTTTATTTATTGACAGCCTCCTTTAAGAGCGTACAATTGGTGTATGAAGCTGTACGTGATGGGAAATAATGTGCATTGATTGTAATTTGGGCCCAAGGCGGTGGGGTCCCCTTCAAATCTAGGGCTTTGTTTGCGAGGGTGTCTAGACCTAACTGGTCCCCAATCTCAGGAGGAATCCCAATTCCGGGACACTTACTCATGTTTACCACCGGAGTACCAGACCAGAGAATTAATGGTTGCTAATTACTTAGGAGGAACTTAACAGTAGTTGATACCCTTAGCAAGGAGAGGGGGCCAGTATAATTAGGCATGCTATACAATTGCTACTATAGTTGTACTTTTTTCACAAGGCATGGTACATTTAAAATTACCACTGTATTAAATTATTGAGTTGATGTACAATAAAGAGACGTAAATATACATCGAATCATCTAAAATATACAACAATCGCATGCTTGATGCTTGTAGGAATATCCCAATTGTATTGAACCCTTTTAATTTTTGGTCTTGTGAATGGAGAAAACAATTTTGAAAAAGCTATCTTAGAATGGGATTGTCTTATAGTTATACTGCTCCAATTGTTCAAGGCCTAATCTTTTTTTTTTTTTTTTGGTTCAGAGACGATAACAAAAGGAAAGGGAGAGTCTAAAGACACTTGTGTTAAGGATTCGTAGATACACAGGTTTTACTAAATCAAAGAGGTGCTTTAGCACCGCTCTTAAATTTTTTTTGCTACAAGTGAAATTTGAACCCCTACTTACAGCTAAAAGTGGGACTTAAGACCCTCCTTGACCAAGGTTAGTGGTTGAATTGTTCAAGGCCTAATCAGGACACCAAAGGAAAAGAAAACAAAAAAAAAAAAGTTCAGACGAGAGGGAAGGAGGGAGGCGAAAAAAAGTAAGGCCGTGGGAGGGTGAAAGTAAACCACGCCAAGGCTATAGCTAAGACCCCAAAACCCAATGTATCCAGCTATCCCTCCATACGATGCATACATAGGGGGCTCAGCCTCAGAGGACCGAGGAGTGAGGGCTTTTCGTTTACTGCACCGTAGTAGTTAGAAAACGGAGCCTCTTTTGTCATCATTCATCATCATCGTCATCAGCAGCTATTCATTCATTCTGGGCTCACGCCAAGCATTCTAAAGTCTAAACAAACAAATGCAATCAATGCCACTCTTTCTTTACTCCCTAGAACAACTAGAACCCTTTTCTTTTTCTTGTTCCCTCCTCCTCCTCCCTGCGCCTCTCTCTTTCGTGCTTCTAGTCTAGAGGTATGCAAAGTTCCTAACTTCATATGCGATTTTTTATTTATCATGTTGTAATTTTGATATCTACATTGTCGGGTTTATCTTTTTCTTTTTTGAATGCAGTGTACGACCAATGAGGAAACCAGAGAGTAAAAGGGTCGATTCTATGGCATCGGGTAACTCCTATGACCTTTTTCCTTTTCTGGGTTTTGCCTATATTTGATACAACAAGTCTTAGATTTCTTGCTGTTGCTTTTTCCGATTGTACGGTTTGGCGTTTGATCGTTTGTCT